GAACTGTACAGAATTTTGTCCAATCAAATGCTCTCTAGAATGAGAATGTCCCGCTCATCAAGGTTCAGGGCTGGAATACAAATAAAAAAGATTGGCTATTTATGAAAGAGGGGTGAGCTAAATTGATGCTTCTTAACTTTCTGTTTCAATGGGAAATATGTCAACACAGGAAATAAATCTGTGCTTATCAAAGGAATTAGTGAGATCTGCATGAAAACACATGATGAAATCACTTTCAATATTGTTTAAACTTACAAATGTAATGTTGTTTAACAGTATAATAAAGCATCGCACTTTCTGTGAGTGTTTAGCGTTGAGTGTCAGAGTGAAGGATGCAGAGGTTAAATGGTGTGTGTGTGTGTGTGTGTGTGTGTGTGTGTGTGATGAGGGTCATTGACAGATGATCATGCTGGAGTCAGTAGAGGACCGAGATCTCCAATCCTGACTCAGCTCATTAAAGTGGTCCGTCTGAATCTACTGACACAATGAAAGTTCTCACGCTTCTAATCCTGATCATCTGATGTGGTGAATCTCGCTCTTTCTGTGTTTCCTCCTCAGCTGTTCAGCTCGAGTGTGTGTTCACTCTCTCTGTGTGTGTGTGTGTGTGTGTGTGTGTGTGTGTGTGTGTGTGTGTGTGTGTGTGTGTGTGTATCTAGTCAGACTGAACAGCTGATATCACAACACACACACACATTTTGTTTACATTCTCTGAAGCGTCTGATCTAGAATATTTCACTAAAACTAACATGTTGAAGTGAAAGCAAAAGTAGGATGGAAGCATGAGAATCTGAATATTTAACATGAATATTTTATATATATATAAGTCAAACAAACTTGAGAAAGGACAAAAAGGAAAGAGGGACAGAGAAATAGATGTTTTTTTTTTTGTTGCTAATTTTAATTCTTGTTTTTTTCAATATATATACACACTACCAAAATATTTTTTGTAATGCTTTTTAAGAAGTCTCTTCTGAATACCAGGGCTGCAATTATTTGATCAAAAATACAGTAAAAACTGTGAAAAATTACAATTTAAAATGTATTTCTATTGTAATTTAATATATATATATATATATATAATATTGTCCAAAGGGCGATAAAGATCAAGATAGACCTTTCAGAGATGGTTCATTATTTGGATGTGACATAAAAATGATGTAGGTCAGTTGGCCTCTTTGTCTCTGTTGTCAGTTTTTAACCAGAATAAGCTGTGCTGTGGAGCAGACGTTGATAATATAGATTGGACAGATGATAGAACAGCTGCAGATATGGATCTTCAGAACATTCATTGTCTTCCAGCAATTCGACTTCCTGCCATATGCTTGTGCTTCCTGTTTCTATTTCCACTGGTCTGGTTTTGTCAGTCCCACCCATGTCTTTCTTTTACACTAGCTGTCTTTCACAAGTTCTGTTTCTGTGTCAGATCTCTGGTTACTTTAATGCTCTCTGCTTGGGAACGTGATGAATATGTACACAAAGGATCCATGCACAGATCTTGGGTGGTGTGATAAACAGTTGCTAAACCGAGTAAATGATCTTAAAAATGAGCAGATGTGTTTTTATAAGTGTAAGCGGGAGCGCAGGGCCCTTGTGTGAGTTATTGTGGATGTGTGCTGGTAAGATGGTGCTGCTCCAGTTGTAAATCCTCTTTGCTTGGCCAAGATTCAAGTATTGCCTTAACACCAGATTAAACTCTCCCTTTCTCTCTCTCTCTCTCTCTCTCTCTCTCTCTCTCTCTCTGTCACCTGGTGTAAGTGGGGCATGTCGTCCCACCCAGAGCATTATGTAATACAATTATGTAATACAAAACCAAATGGAGGAGTAAATATAAACGCAAGTGTGTGAAGCTCTTGAGTAATGGTACTTTGATGCTGTAATTAAGTATTATTTGGGGGAATTTATATTTTAAAGGTGTGGTTCGTTGCGATTTCACTTTTTTAACGTTAGTGTGTAATGTTGCTGTTTGAACATAAACAATATCTGCAAAGTTACGAAGCTGAAAGTTCAATGCAAACGGAGCTATTGTCTTTTAAAGTTCTGGCCGTTTACAAAAATGGCTGGTAGAGACTACAACAAGTTACTTCCCGGGTTTGTGACATCACAAACCCAGATAAACCCTGCCCTCGGGAAAAGGCAGCAAAGGGGGCGAGGCCGTGCTGCTCTGCTTTAGAGAAGAGGAAGAGAAAACTAGAGGTGCACGTAAAAATCTATTCATGTATGAATCGCGATTCTGTCTTCTAACGATTCTAATGGATTCACAAGTTTCAAAATCAATGTTCTAAAGCAGCGGTTCTTAATACTGTTCCTCGAGTCTGCTGCACTGCACACGCTCTGCATCTCTCTCTCGCTCTCTCTCATTCAGCTCAGCTATAACAATGAACTGTTCCAATTATACACTTATTTTCACATAGCTATGAGAAGCGTTAACCATGGACGCGCGTGCAGTTGCCGTACTGTATTAAAGCTTTAATCAGGATAAAACCGTATATTAAAAGCTAACGTAAGCGGTAGCATTTACAAATAACAGCGTATCTAAAAGTATGAGACAACAACAAACAAAAAACATAGGCCTACCATTAAAAGCCGTGCTTGCACAGGTTCTGCACGATCCTCTTCAATAATATCCTCTGCTTCTCAATTGGGTTCAAACTGATAAGCGATATTAACAACGTCGTTGTTTACAATGTACCTGGAGCACATACCGCTGAGCTAAGGGGCGGGACGCTTAGACGCACACTAGAGACGGCTTAGCCAATCACAACACACTGGGCTATCTAACCAATCAGAGCTCATTGCCTATTTCTGAGGGAGGGGCTTCATAAAAGCAGGAAATGATCAGCGTGTTTCTCAGAGAAGGGACAGAGCGGTGTGGAATAAAGGGAAATAATGTGAAAAATAATGCGTTTTTAAAAAAACGAAGCATTAACACATGTTAGACTGCACCCCATAAACACAATCAGTCCTACAAAAAAAACTTTAACTGAGTACTGCTAGAACTGAATATTTACATAATTACGTTTTGAATGAAAAATTAATTGATTAGTTAAGTTCTAAAGCTATGAAAGAAAATTTACCATTTAATTTTAATTACACTGTTGCTGAATTGCTGAAGTTTGTATTTTGACTAGGTACTTTTGTCTTTTAAGTAAAAAATTTTTTTACCAAATTAATAAATTACTAATGCAAACATACATATAGGGGTGTGCGGTATATATCGTCTTTGATAATATCGTAATTGTTGTTTTAACGATGTGCGATTTGACATTATCGAGTATTTTGCAAAAAACTTTAAAAACAGCCCTACAGAGCGCACGCATACATTACGTGAAGTCTAGACTAGTGCGTGTGCGCATTTAGAGTGCATTCTTTCACTAGACGATTCAGTCTATTACAGTTCGTTTAGAATGATCACAAATTCAAGACATGGGGGCAGAAAATGTATATATTTATACCACTTCAAATAGCCTAGTTAATCAATTTCACACAGAGTGAGGTTTTTTTTTCTCCAAAAATGACTGATTACAAATGTGATATTGATTTTTTACAACAGTTCAATAAACAAGAAGTTAATTAAGAGACTTACGTTTTAGACACCATATTTCCTGATTTTGCGCTATTTCGACAACAAAAAATTATTCCAAACACAACCACAGCGCTGTTTTGCGTCTTTGAGCAACATTACGGTGTTTCGTTCCTGAATGAATCAACCGTTTAAATGATTCGGTTCAATCGCAATAACTCACTTATTAACGGTGACTTGCTGCCACCTACTGGCGGATTTAATTTCACATTCAGAGTATCTTTTATTATTTAAATAATTTCAAATATCAGTATTCAAAAGATAATGGACACTTTTAGAAAAAAAATGGCTTTATAAAGGTCAAAATGCCAATGAAATGTAAAAATCAGTTAAAACTTATTGGAAAAGATTAATTTGTATCAGTAGGGCCTTTCGCACCGCTTTAGTTCCAGAACTAAATGTACAGTACTAAAGTACTGGGACGATTTTGCGTGAACTATTTCCCAGTACCATTTAAAGGGTTGCATTCGCACCGACAGTGTGTACTAAGAAGTGACGTAAGCCGGTCGACAGCATCGTCATTTGTGCGCGGCATTCAACAACAGAAACAAAAGAAGAACAACATTAACAACAGGAGGATGGAGGACGCTGTGATCGGAGCTGTGTTTTTGTTGTGTCTGCAGTATCTGCAGATTAAACAGTTTTTTTGTAGAAGCATTTTTTTTATTTGAAGTAGCACCTCATGACTACACCACATTATGTACGAGAAGCTGCAAAAGGCACAAGTGGAATGTACAAAACATGGAGTCATGAAATAATAATTTAAGTAAATATAATGGGCGATATATTGCGTCACAAAGTTATTGAGGTCATGCACATATATTGCGCGATAAGTCGATTTATTGCGACAAGCCATATATATATATATATATATATACTACAAATATAGGAATATACAATACTAATAGTACTATATAATTGTATAATTGCATAATTTCTAAGAGTAAAGGAAGTAAGAAAAGAAACAGATTGGAGGTGAAAGATGAGAGGAGAGACAGATGGACTGGTGAAGCAGAAGCAGACAGGACTTTATGAATTTGATTGTGTTTGTGGCTCTCTGTGTCTGTGCTGCCGCCGCTGGTGAAGCAGGTGAACTGTGTCGTGTCGCAGTCTAAATGAGTCAGTCGTGGGTCGATGTGACTGATCTGCACTGACTGCAGTGTGAGAGAGCTCACTGTCCTGCCTGTCATCAAGCAGTATGTTTATCTGCTGATCAGGAACACTAAAGTTTGTCGTGTTTTGATAAAAATTTTGTTTGCTTAACATAATTGATGTACATTTGAATATCATATTAAATCATTGTCATAAAAATCATTGCGAGTAATCATAAAAATATATTATAACATTTATATTCTCTATTTTAAAAGACATTTCACATTATTTTTCACATTACTAACAACTTTCTTTGCCCCGCCCACAGCTCCCCTCTCTCCCTCCCTCCCCCCACTGGGCTGGTTGCCATGGAGAGCTCATCAGTAGCATCAGCATCATCAGAGGCAGGAAGCACGCGCTCGCAGGAGATAGAGGAGCTGGAGCGCTTCATCGACAGCTACGTGCTGGAGTACCAGGTGCAGGGACTCCTGAGCGACAAAAACGAAACCGACCAGGATGTGGACAAGACACCGTCCCACATCTCACAGGTAAAACATGCCCCATCCCACACTGCACAGGTAAAACTAGAGATTCGCGATCAACTGGCCAGGGACCGGAATTAGCCGATTTTCCGCATTATCAGCCGTTCAGTCTGCCGATTCCGAGCCGGCCTGTTTTGACGTCACACTTACGGCGACTGATAATGTATTGATGTCGTGTCAAATGAGGCTCACTCAGCCTGATTGAGTGTGTGAGAGAGACTCGTGCAGAAATCAAAATGAGCGCAACAGCACACACAGAAAGTTATAGATGCATACTGCTGTAGTAAAAAAAAGAAATGTATAATATATCATTTAGGTATGCAACATTACATGATTGCAATGTGGTTTTATACAATAGTAGTACAATAAACAAGAAGTTAAAATTAAGTGACTTACATTTTAGACACAATATTGACTGTTTTTACGCAATTTCGCTGATGAAAATAGTTCCAATCAAAGCCACAGCAGAACTGTTTTGTGTCTCCAAGCAACACAGCGGTGTTTCGTTACTGAACGAATCCACGTTTTTGAACGAATCAAGTAAGTCAATGATTCAGTAACCCATTCGTAAAGACAGTAGTCACTTGTCTCTGAATGAATCAGCCGTGGAAAGATGGAGTTTGTTCATACTGATTTCATTTGAATGGTAACCGCTCTACAGTTTCTTATTATTCTAACTGAATTAATTTAAAGGGGTCATATGATGCGATTTCAAGTTTTGCTTTCTCTTTGGAGTGTTACAAGCTGTTCGTGAATAGCTAAGATCCCTAAAGTTGCAAAGACTACACAGTTAAGAGTCATCCACACCTTCCTAAAACGGCTCGTTCTAGCACGCCCCCACATATCTACCTCACTATGTGGGAAGATTTGCATAACGCCACCCAAATGTTCACACAAAGAAAGAAGGCTTAACTTTATTGTTGCTGCCACCGCTGCCGCCATGTTGTGAAGACGCTGTGTGTTTCGTTGTGAAAGTGAAACTACTTTGTTTGGCCTTCCAAAAGAGGACACGACTAGAAATCAGTGTTTTAAGTTGTATTTACAACACTGTTCCAGAACAGTTTAACTCAAATATTCAGATGTGTGCAGCACATTTTATGGAGGACTGTTTCCTGATCCTGAGAGAGTAGACTACAATGCCGGCTGTTTTGACTCAAAGACTGAAAGTACGTTTTCATATTTAAAGAATTTGCCACTGACGATTCAAACGCGAGTTTTGAGCAGTGTAGAGTAGCGCTTGTTGTTTGTCATTTCTCCGATCACAAATGCAGACATGGTTTTATGTTTACGCAGTGCGATACGCAATGCGTAAAAAGACAGTATAAGTCATTATAATCATTAATTATGCAACAAATGCCTCGTTTATAATGAGTTTTAATGTTTTTGTCTCGTTGCTCCGGCCGGACAGGGCATCACAGTATGGTAAGGGGCGTAACATTTCCATCACACGCTTGAGGTATTCAGCCAATCACAACACTCTGGATAGCTGGCCAATCAGAGCACACCTCGCTTTTCAGACCAATGGGCTTTGTAAAATTCGACACGTTTCAGAAAGGCAGGGCATAGAGGAGAAACAAAAATGTACAGTATGTGGAAAATTATGTGTTTTTTTTTTTTACCTTAAACCGCGTAAACACATTTCATTACACCAAATACACAAAATAATGTTGTTTTTAGCAACGTCATATGACCCCTTTAAACAATGTAAGAATTTGATGTGAAATGACACATTTAATAAGGTTAGTGAAAAAATGACAATTTAAGAAACAGTGGGACATGACATCTGTTTTGTTAAATAGTACAGCAACTCCTTTTCAGTTCATTGTTATTTATACCTCTTTTCTAGTCACGGAGCACTTTATTTTGAGAGTTGTTTAAGTGAGAGAACATCTGTTACTATGTCCAGATTGGGGGAATTGTAATGTTTAATCATTTTTATTATATAAATGATTTTTGCATTAAAAAAGTATAGATTTTTGTTTGTATATGCAGTCAATTATAGTTTTTAGAAAGAAAATCGGAATCGGCAAAAATCGGCATCGGCAGGGCACACTTACAAAAAAATTCAGAAATCGGAATCGGTGCATCTCTAGGTAAAACGCACCCAGTCCTACACCTCACACCCTGTCCCACACTTACAGGTAAAACACACCCCGTCCCGTGCACCTCAAAAGCTTGTTGAAGATGATAAAATGTAATTCTGTTTTACTAAGTAATAATCAAAACAAACAAAGAAATCAAATTTGACACTAATGGTGTCTCTCTGTCTCTCAGTGGACAGAAGACTGCAGTGATAAGATTGACGGGAGCTGGTCGTCCTCACGGGGCAAGGACTCGTCCAAACCAGTGAGTTTTTCATGTGTGTGTGTGTGCGTCTGATCCATAACTCTTCAAAAGTCATTGGTCTTATTATAACTGATGAAGCTGTGAAAACATCTGTTGCAGTCGCCTCTGGTGCAGAAACAGTGTTAGTGTTGAAGATGTCTAGAAATTGACTGGAGGTGTTCAGACACAGATGTGTTTGTCATGAGAAAACTTCACAGACAAGTGTATTAATGGATGGACACAGAAAACAACAGAAACGTCAAACTAGTGCTAGGTCCCAGTTCACATAATGCCTGTCCTGAATAGTGCAAGGTTAGGGTTAGAGCGTCCCAAATCATTGCTGAAAATAGTGCATCACAGGTGCCTAGATGGCATGCTGTCTGTCAAAGTGTAGCTAGATGCTAATGTTAATATGAAAACGCAAACAGTAAGTGCACTGTATGCAAGTATTTCTAGATTGCGTGCATCATCATTTAGAAATGTGTCGGACTGCAATTCGTAACAATGCAAGAGTGCCATAAGGGGCGCTATATAGTTAAAAATAAGAGATTGTCATTTCCTGACAAACTTAGCATTTGCTCATAAAAGCTTTTGCATTCTTTGTGTTCAAATGTTTGCGAGCGAGTTTCTCGAGAAAGTGCAGAAATTTTGCGAATGAATGCAAAAGCAAATATATTACAATTTTCCTTCCCATGTAATTTTAAAGAGTCTGTTTCTGGTCAGTTTTCTCTTTCATCTCAAGTACTTTCGATAGTTTGACAAGCTGCAGTTCTTTCGTTCTTTATACAATATATGGATGCTTGTTTCTGCCACAAGCTAATATATATAAATTAATATCTTTGTTCTTCTCTTAGTTCATATCACGTGATTCTGAGTTTATATTTCATATGCGTGATTATCCAGACTGATGCATCACTGTGTTTTGAATGTTCCCTTATTAGTGACACTGGAGCAGATTAAGCTGTCAGCCATATGCTTAATTTGTGTCTTTATTAAATATTAAAGACGGCACATGTGAGAAGGTTAGATGCACTGTGTGCTGCGTGAATGTTGTGAGTAAGTGTTGTTTTCCAGTGTGTGTGAGAGCATTGTGAATGACACAGGTCTGAGGTCACGTGATGCGATGAGGTCACTGAACGTGTGTGATCATGTCACTGCTTTGCTGCTGCACAAGCTCAGTACCGTCTGATGAACCGTTGCCTGTTTTGACTGAACTGAAAACTCATTTGACATACTCAGCATGCATGACATGTTGCATATATTGTTCTATCATTACATTTACATGTAGGGCTGCACAATTAATCGAATTTCTAATCGCGATTACAATTATGGATGCCACAATTATGTAATCGTTCAAAGCGGCAATTAATCGTTCAAAGTCCACTTTTGTTATTCGGCGTGCGTTCTTTTCTTTCTACATGTTATCTTAAGGGTTTTTCCCATTATTTTAGTTTTAGTATAACATTATAATACCAATCATAGTTTTACTTTTTTGTAATTTAAAGAAGAAACCAATCCGATGTATATTTGACATTTGGCTTAATACTATAGAAAAGCGCTAAAGGTTTTTCAGTTCGAGTGTTTTCAGCTTGTTTATTTTCATATAAACCTACGGCATGCAGTTGCATCAAACAATGGTATAAACATCATTCAATGTAAATTGTGATTATCGTAATTAATAATCGCAATTACAATTTCAAGGGAATAATCGACAATTATGATTTTTGTCATAATCGTGCAGCCCTATTTACATGTTTTGCTCTGTCAGAATTTGAGTGTGTGCGTGGGTGTGTGTGTGTTGGTGGTACATTTGATCTACAGGCTGCAATTTCTTTTGTTATTACCTAATAGTTTTTTCTTCATTGTCAGTTTGTCCTTTTCAGTTTAGTTTTCATTTGTTTTTTAACTGGATATTTTTTGTAGTGTTTTCTAGATTCCATTTAGTTTGAGTTTAGTTTCAACATTTTTGAGTTTCCAAAGTTGTAAGAAACTCATTTGTGCTTATTTTATGTTATTTTATTTATTTTGGAGTCATGAAAAATGTTTAGTTTTTCTAATAGTGTTAGTTTTTTTTTTATTTCAGTTAATGAATTGAATTAATTAACACTGACACAAACACACACACATCAGCTTGAAAAGATTCCTGATCACTTTTTAAAGGTATGCTGCAGATGTTGAATGATTGAGTAAATGTATCCATGTTGACATCCAGCGTCAGATGAATCTGAATGAATCTGGTCTCTCTCAGGATGATTGGGAGCACAGCAGTAATGGCAGCACCGGTTCTAGACCCAGTTCTGGTTCTCGACCCGGTTCTGGTTCTAGATCGGGCAGCAGAGGACGAAACAACCAGTTCAGAGCCCCAGCGAAGGTGACGTTATGTGTATATATTGATGTCATCAGGACATTTTTTTTCAATGTTTTTAAACTTTCACAATGTGTGTGTTTTAGAATGGAAACAGAGACTGTTCTTTCGACGTTCTGGGGACGGACATTTGGGCTGCAAACCTGGACTGTCATGGGTGAGATTCACACACATACTTTTAATAAATCTAGCCATTAAATAATGTCATATAATAGTAGGGCTGCACGATTAATTGAAATAAAACCAAACTCGTGATATGGCTTAAAGGGTTAGTTCACCCAAAAATGAAAATTAGCCCACAAATTACTCACCCTCAAGTCATCCTAGGTGTATAAGACTTTCTTCTTTCAGATGAATCCAGTCGGAGTTATATTAAAAATTGTCTTTGAGATTTAAAGCTGTTTAATGCCACTCAGCAGGTTTTGCATGCATCAGTCCAAAAGAAGTTAAATAAAAAGCACCCATCCATAAAAAAAGTGTCTCACACGGCTCCGGGGGGTGAACAAAGGCCCCGATTCACTACAGGAGGCCTTTGTTCACCCCCCGGAGCTGTTTTATTTAACTCTGACTGGATTCATCTGAAAGAAGAAAGTCATATACACCTAGGATGACTTGAGGGTGAGTAATTTGTGGGCTAATTTTCATTTTTGGGTGAACTAACCCTTTAATGATGATTTAATTAAACAAAGTCTATAGAAAAACACAGAGTTCATTTACTTCTTTGTTCAGTGAATCAAGTAAAACAGTCTTCGATTAGTCAATCCAGACTGCTGAAATGTGTCCATATTTTCAGCGGTCAGTGAATATTTTCATCTTCTCTGGTTCTGCTTGTGCTTTGCAGTGCTGCTGACTCGCAGTCTAATTTAAACCTCGTCACAGGCTAAATTTAATTAATTTAGGCTAGTTCTTCTTATATTAGATTTGAGCTGTGTGTAAACATCTGTGTTAACATCAAATCAAAACTGTCCGTGAGGTACTGTTCAAAAGTTTGAGATTTTGTTTTTGAAATTAGTCTCTTCTGCTCACCAAGGCTGCATTTGTTTGAAGAAAAAAAAATACAGTAAAAGCAGTAATATTGTGAAATGTCATTGCAATTCAAAATAGCTGTTTTCTATGTGAATACATTGTAAAATGTAATTTATTCCTGTGATCAAAGCTGCATTTTCAGCATCATTACTCCAGTCTTCAGTGTCACATGATCCTTCAGAAATCAGTATAATATGCTGATTTGCTGCTCAAGAAACATTATGATCATCAACAATGTTTAAAGCTTCATATTTTTGTGGAAACTGTTTTACATTTTATTTTTCAGGATACTTTGATGAATAGAAAGTTCAAAAGAACAGCAATTTAATGCATCCTTGACAAATAAAAGTATTAATTTCTTTAGAAAAAATGCATACTGAGCCCAAACTTTTGAACATCAGTGTACATTCTAGATTTCATAAGCTGTGTTTTAGTTTATTTTTCTAGATTGTTCAGTTTAGTTTGCAGATTGCAAACGCTTTAAATCAGAGTTACGCCACTATAATCCGTTCAGAGCTCTATATCGCCTTTCAAAACAAGCTCTGAGGTTGTCTTGATTTATTCAGCGTATTTTAGGAAGAAAAAGAAAAAGTGCCTGAGCTAATTAGCTTCTTTACAGAGTCTTTAGTCTAGAGTTTCAGCTGATTAGCAGAGTTTTACAGCCCGGATCAGGGAGAAATGGAGGCTTAGAATGAGCTTGTCACGATGCATGTATAAAAATAAAAAAATGTGGGAGGGGGGGGGATGTGACTTTAGGACCTTAGTTTTTTCTAGAATAGAATTTCTACTGTTTTTGTATTAATGTTGTGTTTTGTGTTCACAGAGGCGCTACGTGGGACATGCAGCCGGAGAAACTGGATTTCTCACAGTTTCACAGGAGGCCGTACAGAGGGACACCAAAACACCTCCCGCACATCGACCGAGAAGGGTGAGACAGACAATACCTTCAATAACACTGACCTCAGAGAACCGGTCTGAATCACTTCACAGTAATGCACTGAATGCATTTACACAAGTATATTTATTTGTATGTACTGTAAATCTGCATCTCAGGGAGTTTTCAGTGTTCAGGATTGTTGTGAGCTGTAATGGGGTGTGGCTGTGTGTTTATGTGGCACTCGGCTCCGTACTGCCCTCTATTGGATGAATGAGAAAGGCATGAGAGAATCCTACTGTATCATATTTGCTAAATATTTCTGAGGCATCTAATTAAATGATCAACATGATCCAACCTTTGCTGCTGAATCTGTTGCACTCAATCTACTCCATGCCTTCTGTCAACTGATTGATAGTTTAGACCTTTAGCAAGTAAAAGGCCTTTTAGTATAGTTGTACAAACGTCCACCTTCAGCTCATGCTTCACGTGTCATGTTTTGCTGTGAACATATATATTGTTAGCAATATTTCAAGTTACACTTACTGGACACTTATCATTTTGTAGACAAATTGTTCAGATGCGAGTCTAAAATACGATCATCAGTCTTTTGAGGAATGTTTATTTGATCAGCACAGTCATCTTTGTATTGTATTGCATTATATGTTTTGATAATCAATCTAAGCATTTAAATATCATCTTACCGAGACATATTACTGGCAGATATAGAGTGACGACTGACTATTTTTATCATTTTATGTAAGTAGTCGCTGTACAGTTATAAGGATCTCATTGATTTGCAATACAAGCATCAGAATTTCTTCACTTTTTGTCCATATAAATATCATCATCTGCACAAAATTGAATATTTTCGCTCCGTTTGGGCTTCTGAAATAAACTGAGCTGGTTTTTCCTCCATGTTCTCACTACATCATACTATATGAGCCATAAAAGCCTGATGGATCAAATATGACACCCAACAAAAAACACATGTACAAAATATAAAATATGTATTTTTCCCGAAAGGTTAAAACAATTATATTTCATCACTATTACGTCATATGTCAGGCTTTACAGAGTTACATTTTATGGCCTGGTTTATTTATTTAGTTAGTATGGAAACTTAAAAGCCCATCATTATACATAACAGCTTATTTGTTGTTGCTTATATGTTAAAGATTTTACCTAAGCCTGCAGAGTATTGTCTGGCTGAACATGTATTGTCTGTCTGTTCACAGGATGATAAAGGGCAAATTTGACGATGATGATGGTATTGACTTGGACAACATGGAGAAATTCCTGCCCAGCCTGCCGGTAAGAAACTATCTCAAGCTTTTACTCATCCTTCAGCCTTCTGGAGTCTGTCTGCAATCAGGAAAAAAAAGATGTGAAGCAGAGATGTGTTCTGCTGTGTACCATCGGTGTGTATAGAAGAGCTCTCTCTGCTGGAGAACTGATCCAACACTGACATCTAGTGTTGTGTGATGACAGTGTGTGTGATATCACTGCATTTGGCTCATGTAGGACACTTGTTTCTGCTCAGGAATGTGCTATTTACACTGAGAATTGTATGAATTACACCAGCCTTCTGAGTTAGTGTTAGTTTGTCTGTCTAATTCAAGCTACATTAAGTTTGTCTAAGTGTCCTCTTGTTCTGAGACACAGAATTAAGTGTTTTAATGCAGTTCTTCCCAAACAGTATGTGAGATTATGAAGTTGCTGCAGCAGTTTATAAATGTGCATTGATTATGAATTTTAAGGTGAATTTTAGTAATGAGTATAGCTAGATACTAACATGCAAATTAGTCATTACATTAGTCTGAAATTTAATGTTCATGTATTTGTGAACTGCTGTAGCAACCTCAGCTTAGCATTCACCTCCATTTACCTACAGAAGGAGTCAAGAGAGAATGATGATAAAAGGATATTTCAAAACAAAAGAAATTATGATGTGGTGGCACTGTTGACCAGGGTTATTAAAGTTAACTAAAAATAAGTGGTGTCAAACGATTAATCGCATCCAAAATAAACGTTTTTGTTTACATAATATATGTGTGTGTGTGTGTACTGTGTATATTTATTATGTCTATATAAATACACACACATACATGTATATATTTAAGAAAAATATGCTATGTTTATATATTAAATATATTTATCTGTACTATAAACAATATAAATATATACATGTAAATATTTTCGAAATATATACTGTGTACACAGTACACACACATATTGTGTAAACAAAAACGTTTATTTTGGATGCGATTAATCGTTTGACAGCACTACTAAAAAACATTAAATATTAAACAAAAACATATTTCAGCTAGCTGCCAAGGCAACATTTCTCATTTTCATTTAGTTACTAACTTGATGTACCAAAATAACTAAAACGTAAAGTAAGTGAAAAACTATGTGGACATATATTTAAGAAAAAAAAAACATTAGCAAACGTGAAAAAAAACAAGCAACAAAATTACAAACCTTTAAATTAAATTAAGCTGAAAATAGAAAAAAAAACTACAATGATGCTAAAATAACAAAGCTGTTGGTAGTATATCAGTATGTACTTTCTCATCTCCTGCTTTTCCGTTAGTGGAGTGGCGCCATCTAGTGGTTTCATAATGTCATCACCAATAAACTGTAATGTAGCATAGATGTCTTTTTCTTTCTTTCTATATTTTATTTTTTTGTGCTGTGTCTGGCAGCCGGTGAGTTTTTCGATCCACCCAGCAGGATGTTGTTAGCGTGGCAGCGGCGGGTCAGAAGGTCATCTGCGGGCAGCTTCTGGACGCGGTGCTGGCAGACAGGGTGGAGTGTGTGTGTGTGTGTGTGTGTGATGCCAGCCATTGTTCTTACTCAAGTGATCTGTTGTTTTTCCCCTTGTTCTCTGTGATTTCATGTGCGTCTATTTATTTAAACACTTTAAAGGTGAACGTGCAGATTGTTGGATGTTGAAATTAACACTTTTTACCGTTTTTGGGTTCAGAACATGGAAGAAAATTATAGTTGAGTACACGTCTATAGAGGTACATGGAAAACCATAGCAAATATAATTTTTGTGTTTCTATTTTCTCTAAAAGCAAAAGAAAAAATCCACAATGCAAAAAAAGAGGAAAATTATATAAAGTGGCGGGAGAGAGAAAGATGTTAAAGTATAGTGTTAGAAAATTGTCTTTTGCTCACCAAGGCTGCATTTATTTAATCACAAATACAGTAAATATAGTTTCTATTTGAACATATTTTGAAATGTAATTTATTCCTGTGATGCGCAGCTGAATTTTCAGCATCATTACTCCAGACTTCAGTCACATGATCTTCAGAAATCATTCTAATATGCTGAGTTGCTACTCAAGAAACATTTCTGATTATTATCAATGTTGAAAACACTTGTACTGCCGAATATTTTGTGGAATCTGTGATGCATTTCATTTTTCAGGATTCCTTGATGAATCAAAAGTTCAAAAGAACAGTTTTTCTTTCAAATAGAATTATTTTGCAACATAAATGTCTTTAATGTCATCAAAATATTAATTTCTTAAAAAAAATATTGCATGTTCATCTAGAACAACTAGATTTATGATGATATTTATTGTGGTGAATTATACTCATACTGGAAAGGGTCCAGACAACAGTGTGAGGTCAGCCAATCACAACGGAGTTCATTGGCATACTAGTTAGTTAGTTTAGTTTATTGTCCTTTCGGAAATTCTTTTTGTATCTGTGGAAACTCTTCAGAGATCAACAACAATAATTAACAATACAAACATCAACAGGTTACAACACATCACATATAAATACAACCAGCATCAAACAGCATCCCTCTCACAACAACAGAATCACTGCCATAGATATAAAATGACAACTGTGATATCACAAAAATGTATTTAACGGAGCTATACTGGATGATATAAAAGATCTTTGTGCACGGGCAGTCCGTAATAATGGTACCCTGTACCTTCGACCAGATGGTAATAACTCATATTCACCACAAAGAGGATGAGATGCATCGTGAAGAATTGTATGGCTTTTCCTCACAGCTCGAGATTCACATAGTTTTATCAGACTAAGGTGTTGTTTACCTGCAATCTTACTAGCCATGTTAACAATTTTATTTAGTTTGTTCTTATTTACTACAGACTGTGAGAAATACCAAGCAACAAAGCTGAAAGTCAAGATACTCTCCAAAAATGAATGATAGAATAGAGCCAACATATATGTATCCACACCAAACTGTCGAAGCTTACGCATGAAATACAATCGCTGCAGCCCTTTCTTGTACTAGACTGACAGGTGTTTATAATGAGTTTGAGTTGAAGAATCTTCTCCCGTCAGAGTTGTGTGAAATAATTGTTGGCATGAATAATTAATTTTAGTTACAAACAGACACACACACACACATGCAGTCTACATCTCTAATCCAAGACCTCACTGACCACTTAAGTGTGTGTGTGTGTCAGGCGAGTGATTTTTGTAGCTGTAGAGTTGGTTTTTCCTCCATGTTCTCACTACATCATACTATATGAGCCATAAAAGCCTGATGGATCAAATATGACACCCAACAAAAAACACATGTACAAAATATAAAATATGTATTTTTCCCGAAAGGTTAAAACAATTATATTTCATCACTATTACGTCATATGTCAGGCTTTACAGAGTTACATTTTATGGCCTGGTTTATTTATTTAGTTAGTATGGAAACTTAAAAGCCCATCATTATACATAACAGCTTATTTGTTGTTGCTTATATGTTAAAGATTTTACCTAAGCCTGCAGAGTATTGTCTGGCTGAACATGTATTGTCTGTCTGTTCACAGGATGATAAAGGGCAAATTTGACGATGATGATGGTATTGACTTGGACAACATGGAGAAATTCCTGCCCAGCCTGCCGGTAAGAAACTATCTCAAGCTTTTACTCATCCTTCAGCCTTCTGGAGTCTGTCTGCAATCAGGAAAAAAAAGATGTGAAGCAGAGATGTGTTCTGCTGTGTACCATCGGTGTGTATAGAAGAGCTCTCTCTGCTGGAGAACTGATCCAACACTGACATCTAGTGTTGTGTGATGACAGTGTGTGTGATATCACTGCATTTGGCTCATGTAGGACACTTGTTTCTGCTCAGGAATGTGCTATTTACACTGAGAATTGTATGAATTACACCAGCCTTCTGAGTTAGTGTTAGTTTGTCTGTCTAATTCAAGCTACATTAAGTTTGTCTAAGTGTCCTCTTGTTCTGAGACACAGAATTAAGTGTTTTAATGCAGTTCTTCCCAAACAGTATGCGAGATTATGAAGTTGCTGCAGCAGTTTATAAATGTGCATTGATTATGAATTTTAAGGTGAATTTTAGTAATGAGTATAGCTAGATACTAACATGCAAATTAGTCATTACATTAGTCTGAAATTTAATGTTCATGTATTTGTGAACTGCTGTAGCAACCTCAGCTTAGCATTCACCTCCATTTACCTACAGAAGGAGTCAAGAGAGAATGATGATAAAAGGATATTTCAAAACAAAAGAAATTATGATGTGGTGGCACTGTTGACCAGGGTTATTAAAGTTAACTAAAAATAAGTGGTGTCAAACGATTAATCGCATCCAAAATAAACGTTTTTGTTTACATAATATATGTGTGTGTGTGTGTACTGTGTATATTTATTATGTCTATATAAATACACACACATACATGTATATATTTAAGAAAAATATGCTATGTTTATATATTAAATATATTTATCTGTACTATAAACAATATAAATATATACATGTAAATATTTTCGAAATATATACTGTGTACACAGTACACACACATATTGTGTAAACAAAAACGTTTATTTTGGATGCGATTAATCGTTTGACAGCACTACTAAAAAACATTAAATATTAAACAAAAACATATTTCAGCTAGCTGCCAAGGCAACATTTCTCATTTTCATTTAGTTACTAACTTGATGTACCAAAATAACTAAAACGTAAAGTAAGTGAAAAACTATGTGGACATATATTTAAGAAAAAAAAAACATTAGCAAACGTGAAAAAAAACAAGCAACAAAATTACAAACCTTTAAATTAAATTAAGCTGAAAATAGAAAAAAAAACTACAATGATGCTAAAATAACAAAGCTGTTGGTAGTATATCAGTATGTACTTTCTCATCTCCTGCTTTTCCGTTAGTGGAGTGGCGCCATCTAGTGGTTTCATAATGTCATCACCAATAAACTGTAATGTAGCATAGATGTCTTTTTCTTTCTTTCTATATTTTATTTTTTTGTGCTGTGTCTGGCAGCCGGTGAGTTTTTCGATCCACCCA